GATCTCGGGGGTTGTGGTGGACGAAGGATAAGTTGGGGTGGTCCCAGGACCTGTGGTGGTCCCAGTAATGATTGTGGTGGTCCCATGGATTGTTGTTGTCCCAAGGGCGGTGGTGATGATGGTCTCAGGAGTGGTGGTGATGAGGGTCTCAGGAGGGGTGGTGATGGTCTCAGGAGTGGTGGTGATGATGGTCTCAGGAGTGGTGGTGATGAGGGTCTCAGGAGGGGTGGTGATGGTCTCAGGAGTGGTGGTGATGATGGTCTCAGGAGTGGTGGTGATGAGGGTCTCAGGAGGGGTGGTGATGGTCTCAGGAGTGGTGGTGATGATGGTCTCAGGAGTGGTGGTGATGAGGGTCTCAGGAGGGGTGGTGATGGTCTCAGGAGTGGTGGTGATGATGGTCTCAGGAGTGGTGGTGATGAGGGTCTCAGGAGGGGTGGTGATGGTCTCAGGAGTGGTGGTGATGATGGTCTCAGGAGTGGTGGTGATGAGGGTCTCAGGAGGGGTGGTGATGGTCTCAGGAGTGGTGGTGATGATGGTCTCAGGAGTGGTGGTGATGAGGGTCTCAGGAGGGGTGGTGATGGTCTCAGGAGTGGTGGTGATGATGGTCTCAGGAGTGGTGGTGATGAGGGTCTCAGGAGGGGTGGTGATGGTCTCAGGAGTGGTGGTGATGATGGTCTCAGGAGTGGTGGTGATGAGGGTCTCAGGAGGGGTGGTGATGGTCTCAGGAGTGGTGGTGATGATGGTCTCAGGAGTGGTGGTGATGAGGGTCTCAGGAGGGGTGGTGATGGTCTCAGGAGTGGTGGTGATGATGGTCTCAGGAGTGGTGGTGATGAGGGTCTCAGGAGGGGTGGTGATGGTCTCAGGAGTGGTGGTGATGATGGTCTCAGGAGTGGTGGTGATGAGGGTCTCAGGAGGGGTGGTGATGGTCTCAGGAGTGGTGGTGATGATGGTCTCAGGAGTGGTGGTGATGAGGGTCTCAGGAGGGGTGGTGATGGTCTCAGGAGTGGTGGTGATGATGGTCTCAGGAGTGGTGGTGATGAGGGTCTCAGGAGGGGTGGTGATGGTCTCAGGAGTGGTGGTGATGATGGTCTCAGGAGTGGTGGTGATGAGGGTCTCAGGAGGGGTGGTGATGGTCTCAGGAGTGGTGGTGATGATGGTCTCAGGAGTGGTGGTGATGATGGTCTCAGGGGAGGTGATGGAGTCAGGTGTTATGGTTGATTCAGGGGTTTGGGTGGTCCTGAGGGCTGTGGTGATCTCGGGGGTTGTGGTGGACCAAGGTGAGGTTGGGGTGATCCCAGGACCTGTGGTGGTCCCAGTAATGATTGTGGTGGTCCCAGGGATTGTGGTTGTCTCAGAGCTGGTGGTGATGATGGTCTCAGGAGTGGTGGTGATGATGGTCTCAGGGGTGGGGACGGAGTCAGGTGTCATGGCTGTTTCAGGGGCTGTGGTGGTCCTGAGGGCTGTGGTGGTCTCAGGGGTTGTGGTGGTCTCAGGATGGGTGGTGTCAGGCATGGTCATGGTGGTGACAGGTTTCATAGAGGTGGTCCCAAGACTGGTGGGGTTTGTCTCCAGACGGGTGGAATTTGTCTCAGCACTGGTGGGGTTTGTCTCATCACTTGGGGTGGTCTCCACGATGGAGGTGTTTCCAGGTGTCCCTGAGGTTGTGATGGTCTCAGGGTTCTTGGTGGACTGAAGATGGGCGGTCTCAGAGATGCTCATGCTGGTGTTAGATCTTGTGGTTGCCTCATGGGATGTGCTGGTGGCCCCAGATGTTGTTGTGGCCCCAGGGGTTGTGGTGGCCAAAGCACTGCCGGTTGTGCCAGGATCAGCCGTGTCTGTCCCAGGGTCACCGCTGCTTCCAAGGTCACCTTCGGCCTCAGGGACGATGGTGTTCTCAGGTCGGATTCTCCTTCCAGGGCTGGGGGTGGTGGTGGTCTCTGGACGGGTGGTGGCAGGGATGATCATGGTGGTGACAGGGTTCATGGAGGTGGTCCCAGGGCTGGTGTGGGTGGTCCCTGGGCTTGTGGTGGCTTCAGGTGTTGCGATTGTCCCAGAGATTGTGGTGGTTTCAAGGTCAGTGGTGGCCACAGGGACAGTGGTGGTCCCAAGTGTCATGGTTGTTCCAGGTGATGGGGTCATCTCAGGGGTTGTGGTGGTCCGAGGTGGGGTGGGGGTGGTCCCATCACTGGTGGTGGTCTCAGGGGTTGTGGTGGTCCGAGGTGAGGTCAGGGTGGTCCCATCACTGGTGGTGGTCCCAGGAACGCTCGTGGTGTCCCCAGATGCTGTATTTGGTGGTCCCAGCCACTGTGACAGTGTCCACCCCAAATATGGAGGTGGCACCACCTCCGTGGTCATTGGGGGTCCCGCGGAGGGTGTTGTTGGTGCTCCTGCTGGTACCGCTTGTTGTTTGGGTGTCCCAGGTGTGGTTCTGTGTCCAGGTGTTGTCCCCACTCCTGCACCTGTTGTTAAGCTTGTCACGTTCTCCACACTGGTGGGGACGTGGCTCTCGGCTTCCGTCCCACCCCCGTTCTCCACGTGGAGCTCCGAGGTCTCCGCGCCTGGGGGTCCCTGGGGGTCCCCGGCTGCTGCAGAGACAGTGGGAGGTCCCGGTCCAGGGTGGGCTCGGGGTGTCCCGAACTCGCTGCTCCCGTTGTCCGCCTGTTCTTTCGGAGCCCCCTCGATACCTGTTGGAAGGGTCTGGATCCAGCCGAGCCCACCCGGAGCAGGTGGAACCTTCTGGAACGTTCCCCTCCGAGTCACAGCTCCTCCATTTTGGGAACGCACATCACCTCCCCCTCTCCCCAAGGGTGACGAGACCCCCGTTGTCCCCCCCGTCACTCCCACCCCCGGGACCACCCCCAGCCCTTACCCACGTGCCGTTATCGATCCCAGGTGTGCCCTTATCGATCCCAGGTGTGCCCTTATCGATCCCAGGTGTGCCAGGCACCTGTTATCAACCCCAGGTGATCTCTTATCTCTCCCGTTAACAGCTTTGCTTTCGTTTCTCACTTCTCCTTTTTCGTTTCTCACTTCTCCTTTTTCGTTTCTCACTTCTCCTTTTTCGTTTCTCACTTCTCCTTCCCCCCCCCGGCCGGACCTTGGACCTCCCTCACCTTTACCCCTTCCCCTCCCACCGTTCCCAGTTTCGTTTCCCTCAGGGAACTGGGGACACCCCCGCGTCCCCCACACGGCTCCGTGGCTCCGGGACATGTGCCCAGGTGAGCGCCCAGGTGAGCGCCCGGGACTGTCCACACCTTTGAGCCGACCCTGCTCAGCTCCCGGGCCACCCTTGGAGCTGCGGGGACACTTTGCCCACACCCAAGGGTCTCTGGGATCGACATTTCTCCTCATGAAATGAATTTTCCTTCTGGAAAATTTCCGGCTTTGGAAAGAAACCCCGAATTAACGAAAACGGCCCCTAAAAAAAAAAAAAAAAAAATCCCAAAACCACTCGAAACGCCCCGAAAAAAGCACCTCGCTGCCTCCGGAATCTGCATTTCCCCATCCCGCTGCCTCTTCCCTGAGGTTCTCCAGCTGCGGCCGCTCTAATGAGCCGCTCTGGTGTAATTAACGCGGCCTCTTAATGAGGTTTCCCAGCATCAGCGCTCCCCAACCGCTGGGGTCGGCAGGGGGGTGAGGAGGAGGAGGAGGAGGAGGAGGGGGGGGAGGAGGCGCTGATATG